ACCTCGGCCCGCCGTAGTCCGTGTGGCTGACGAGCAGCAAGATCTGGCACCAGAGCAGCACGAGGGCCGGGTGTGTGGGGACCATGGAGCGCACCTGCGCGTTCAAGCTCTCCAGGCCGTAGAAGCTGCCGTCCGCGCCGTCGGCCGTGAAGAGCCTGGAGGCGGCTGCTGTGATTCTCCGGAACATTCCTAGAAGCAAACCCAAAGCCACACGGATTAAGGGAGACCCTTTGCTCATCGAGGCCCAGATTTTATGTCAAGGATTGTGCACGGCTCTTCCCTGCAGACAGCAAAGGGCAGGAGGCCCTGCACCCACTCCTGCCAACCACACGGCTCCTGCTGAGAACCGAGGGGCAGCAACCACAGAGGCCACTGGGCCACGGCCGGCGGCAGAGAGGGTGGACGGTGCTCCACCCGGCTCGGCACCCTGCAGGCTGAGGGCTGAGGGCTGTGTGGGCTCCAGGGCCACCAGGACGCTGGGCTGGGCGGCCACGCCCTTAGGGGCAGACCCTGTGGGGCCCAGCCCACCAGTTTCCCCACAGCACCCTCCTCGTGCCTGGAGCCATCCCCGGAGTGATGTCATCCTAGCCTCCCTTGGACAGACAGCTCAGTATGCCTCTCCTGGCCGACCTGGCTTCCCCTGTGGGCCTGTGCCCCGTGTGGTCGGGATGGGGCACGTTCTCGCAGGTGGGGGCAGGCAGCGCGGCCTGCGCCAGGTGTGGTCGGGAGGGGACACACTCTCGCAGGCGGGCGGGGCACCCACCAGACTTGAAGATGTGGATCAGACACATGAGGAGCGTGCCCAGCTCCTGGCAGTAGAAAGTGTGCTGCTGCTCGCTCATGTCCACTCTGAGCTGCTTCGTGACAATGTCCTCTAAGAGGATGCCCACCAGCTGCAGGAGGAACCTGCGGAGAAGGGCAGGTGACGTGACTGAGCGACATGACGGAGCCCGGCGGCTCCCGTCTGTGTGTGTAACCCACACACAGGAGACACGGTCTAGAGTAAGTGTGAGGGAAGCGATGGAATGTGTAAGCCCACCCTGGGGTGGAGCCCCTGCCTCTATGCACATCTCCCTCCTCCCTGGGAGCTGGCAGCGGCCGTGCCACCCTCAGCGGACTGCCAGGAGGACAGCGTGGCACTGGGCTGAGGAGGCTGACAACATGGCACCAGATTGTCACTCATCCATCTCCACCGCCTGCTCAACGTGGGACCCTCTCCACACACCACACCCGATGGCCACGGAGGCGGCTGAGGACATGTCATGGGGGCCCAGCTGGAAGGTGCGCGGCAGAATCGCACCCACAGCTCGTCCT